CCACCACCCCCCTCCCTCGTCCATCGGATCCCCGAAACTTGAAAATCAGATAGCTCACCTCCCACCAACTTTCAAACTCTCCTATTCCAGCGTCATCCACCCTCAATCCACAGCCGCACCGCTTCTGCCCGTCAGCAGCACCAGCACCGCATCCCCTCTCGACTTCCCACCACTGAATCGCGACCCTTCTCGCCTTTCAGAAGCATTCGGCCGTTCCTAGAAAGTCGCGATACTTGCGCGCCTTGATCCACCCACGCCACGGTCGCAACAGCTCTTTGTCCCACCCCGGCATGAACGGGGCTCACAGGTCCATTGTTGATACAGATCCGAATAACACCCAACCCAGACCACCGACCACTTCATCAGATCGCGCCGGTTCCTACGCACCACAGCATGCCATGAACCCCCCAAACTACCCCCAAGCTGGACACGCTTTTCGATCATCCAATGCGCCTCAACAACCCTATCAGTCCCTGTCAATGGCCACGATGAACATCTCTCCTTTCAACACCGATTCCATGAGTGGTATCACGAGTCCGCAAGCGTCCACCGGCCCTTTTGGCAACGCGCCCTCGTCCGTCATCATTCGAAAACTTCCCCTCAACACCACCGAAGACACTCTGCGATTAATGGTGGTATGGTCAAAGGAATTTATGGACGCCGAGGTCTTATCGCGCGACAAGTCTGAGGATACTGGATTTCGTTCCGCGGTCTTGCGCTTCAAATCCCACGCAGGCGCCCTCGAAGCGAAGAACATGCTGGACGGAAAACCCAACGTCGCAAACGATGCGCAAATGGTCGTCGAGATGTTTTACGGTCAACCTTCCACGACCCGACGCTACACGGTCGATAACACCTCGAAACCCGGCCCCTCGAGTTCCACCTCGTCAACGGCTTCATCTGGAGGCCCGACCCCTCGACAACCGGGTAGATATAACGGAAATTATCAATCAAACCAAAGAGTTTCTCCTACTAATGGCTATTCGAGTAACGAGCTACCCAACCCAGAGGTTAGCGCACACTACCAGAGCTTGTTTTCCCCACAGTCTCCTATTGGTAATCACTTGAACGAGAGAACTAGAGTTACTGGAAAATCTTTAATCAATAATGACTCGGTTGACGATGACGAGACGGGTGAACTTCTCAAGGATCCTGTTGCGTATGCCGAAAATGGGTCCTCCTCGGTTCAAGCGCGTCGACCAACCAATCCACAGATCCCAATTTCACGCATGGCGGGCTTGTCACTTAATACAAACAATGCTGCAGGTCCAGCGCCCTTATCCTCCTACAATCAACCTTTATCTTCCATCTCTCAGCACACGAACCCCATGTCACCATGTACCCTGACCAACGGTGGTCAGCCTGTCAATTACCAGCTTGGCAGTCAGCACTATCAACGACATAACTTCCCACCCGTCAATCCTGCTGATCAAAATCCTCCATGCAATACCTTGTATGTTGGCAATCTACCCATCGATACATCCGAGGATGAGCTCAAGGCAATGTTTTCCAAGCAACGTGGCTACAAGCGTCTCTGCTTCAGAACCAAGCAGAACGGACCCATGTGCTTTGTCGAGTTTGAAGATGTCTCATTCGCAACCAAGGCTCTCCACGAGCTGTATGGACATCCCCTTCACAACAGTATCAAAGGCGGCATTAGATTGAGCTTCTCCAAGAATCCTCTTGGTGTACGAGCTGGCCAAGGAATGGCTTCTCCCGGACCTTCGGCTGTTCAACCAGGTATGCAGGGAATGAGTGGGGTCATGCTTGGTCAAAATCCTTCATTTAGCACCGCCAGTGGCCCTCCTCCAGGACTTTCTGCTCCACCGGGACTTGGTCCGAGTCGAATGGCATATGCCAATAATGTTAATCCCATGAATAGAACTACCAACCAGTATACCGCGGCGTCATTTGGAGGAAACACTAATGGCTGGAACGGACCCGTCTTTAATGGTACGATGGCTGCTGGTGGTCCACCTGCGGCTATGTTTGCAGGAACACACAACGGACATCCCCCAGCATACATGATGGGAAGGTAGATTTTTTGACTACATTCATCCATTGCGAGGCGTTGGGTTTGATTTGGAGTTTGTCATAATTCCGCCGCACTCATTTCTCAACCTGCCATGGGGTGGCATGATCTGTTCTCATTACTTTTCATTTCCGATCGACCTACAGACGAGGCGATTCTCTATTCTTGCATTCGGGGTTTGCATTTTACACATACTTTGTAGCGTGGTTTTCATGATGATTCCCCCATTGCGCGTCACACACTTGCGGGAGTTTGAAAGCAGGATTTGGCAATGGCATGAAATGGCATATTTCGGTGTTATTTGCGGTTTGCGTTTGGTTCTTACTTGTTGCGCGCGCTTAAAATTCCTCTTCATACATCTGGCGTGTGCTGTCGTTTCCGTATTGGCGTCATTCTAAAGGACTAACAAGAGGCGCAAGCTGGACAGGGGGGGCAAAGGCAAAGCTTTATTTCGGAATGGCATGGCATATGGACTTTTTTTTTTGCTTTTCGAGACTTGATTTTTCCATTGTTGCGATGTTTGTACGATGGATTTTTATTTGCCACAGCGCAGCGGCAGCGACCGAGACTTACATTCTGTGAAGGAGCGGTGGGGACTGGCATTGACATGGCAAAGTACAAGGTCGGGCGGGCACAATGGCATTGGCAATGGTGAATGAAATGGACATGGCATTTTGTTTGGTTTCTTGATTTTTCTTTTCTAACTTCCAAGTTTCGTCGAAGCGTACAGCGTACAACCTGAAAAGAAATTGTGTTCTTAATTTACCATAAAAAAAAAGGCGTATTCATCAACACCGTGGAACTCACTTTTTCTTTTCTTCCGCCGGTGGGCTTTTCCTCGTGAACTTGATCTCGGGTTTTTTTGGGGGGGGTGGGGGGGTTATATATGGGGTTT